GAGTAGGGTCCCAAAAGCCAGTAAAAGAGTTGGAGACAGCCCCTGTTCCTACTGTTAAGAGTCCCAGAAGAGGACCAAGCTATACAACTGTAACATATATGCATAGTGCTAGGTCAGTCCCATGCAGGCTCCCTGGTTGTTGGTTTAGTCTTTGTGAGCCCCAGTGAGCCCAGGTTAGTTGATTCTGTGAGTTTTCTTGTGGTGTTCTTGACTCCTCTGGCTTCTACAATTCTCCCCCTCCCCTGCAGGATTCCCCAAGCTCCACCTATTGTTTGGCTGTGAGTCTGCATTTGTTTCCATCAGTTGCTGGATGAAGCCTTTCTGATAACAATTGGGCTAGGCACCAATCTATAGCAGAATATTTTTAGGCCTCATTACATTGACATTTTCCCTCCTCCATTTGTGTGTGGTTCTATCCTAGGTCTCTGGGTCATCCAGCCTGTTGGTCCTTGCTATGGGCTGCAGGAAAATATTATAAGAACTCAGCTGGTTATAGCAAAGCCACTACCTGAAGGGATCAAGGAATTCCTTCAGAGGAAGCCAAATTCCAAGGAGCTTTTTATGCTTTGGCTTGTTATATATCAGCTGTCTTCCGTTATGAAAGTCACGTGTGCCTTCATAGTTTTCCCAATTGATTTTTCCCTAAGAATTGCTAACAATGTGGACTGATCACTCTTTGGACATATACATTCAAGGTATTTGGAGAACAGCCTCAGGAAAGGTGTCCTTCCCCCATCCCCTTTCAGCACTGGAATCAGATATTTCCCTTAGCCACTTTCAAGGACTAACAGAAATAACATTCCAGACCACCACATGCTAGTCTTTTGATTTAAGGAGACACTGCCTAGGTCAGGTGGACCTTAAGTTATAACTTTACACAATTTAGCTCAGACCCTCCTTTCTTACAGCCTTACTAACTCTATAGACCACTAACTTCTTACCTAACCACTTCTTGAAATAGCGACCGAGCACATAGACCCCCTTTTTCATATACTAACTGGTCATTAGCACTCAGTTGATCTCTTTTTACTACCATTTTGGATTGTAAAGAAAGCCTGATGGTCACTGCCTGAGGGAAAGTCTTACCTACCTTTATGACCCCATAGAATTCAAGCCTGGTGACCTTGCTCCACCAGAGGCTTACTGTTGTATGGGTTTATAACTGGATTCCTGGGAAACTTAGGAGGAACATAGAGAACTGAGAGAATAAGGAGACAGAGAAGAGAAAAGAGAATGGAAGAACTAGATGAGTAAGAACTGGAGATGAACAAACTGAGACGGGGAAGAACTAGATTGAAGGGCTAGAAGAGAGGACTAGAGGAACGAGATGGAAGATGAGCAAGAGCCAGATGAGAAAGAACAAGATGAGAGAGAAGGAGAAGGGGCTGGAGCTGATATGGGAAAGAACTAGATGGATGAGAACCTAGAAGGGGCAGAACTAAGATGAAGGAATTTAGATAGAACCTAGAGGGGACAGCAGATGAATGTAGAGAGAAATCAGGCAAGAAAGGAGCTAAAAATAAGAGCAGAATAGAAGCTTATATAGAGAGAACTGACACAGAATAATAAAGTGTATGGACTAAGGAGTTTCGTGTACATAGATTCATTTCTTTTCATCAAAGATTAATTATCAGCTGGTTGTAGATTCTTCCCAGACCCTAGGAGGGGACTATTGAGGGGCTGGACCCCCATTCCCCCAAAGGGCCTGGTGTTCCAGGCAGTGTTAGGGGTGGGTTTACTTTCCTGGCATGGGTTTTAGTCTAGACTGGTCATTGGTCAGCCACTCCCTCAATCTCTAGGCCACCTTTACCCCAGCACATCCCATAGGCAGGACAGACTATAGGTCTAAGGTTATATGTCTGGGTTGGTTTCCCACTCCTTCCATTTGAAGTCTTGCCTGGTCAAAGGAGATGGCCAGATCAGGCTATGTATCTGCTATTGCTAGGAGTCTTAGCTGGGGTCATTTTTGGAGATTCCTGGGAGATTCCCTGGCACCAGGTTTTGATCTGACCTTGAAATGCCCCCTTCCATTCGTCTCTTTCAGTACTTTCCCCTTGGTTACCTCCCCCCAACCTGGTGCACTCATGTTCCCTTTTCCACCAGCAATCTCCTCACAAAAATCTCTTCTATATCTGCCCTTCCCAGGGAGAGCCAGGCATCCCCCACCCTTTGCATCTTCCTTGTTACCTAGTCTCTCTGGGTCTGAGATTGCAGCATGGTTTTCCTTTATTTTACAGCTAATACCCACTTATGAATGAGTGCATACCATGTTTGTCTTTCTCGGTCTGGGTTACTTTACTCAGGATAATTTTTTTCTAGTTCCATCCATTTGCCTTCAAACTTCCTGATATCATTGTTTTAAATAGCTGAGTGATACTCCATTGTGTAAATGTACCACATTTTCTTTATCCATTCCTCAGTTGAGAGACATCTAGGGTGTTTCCAGGTTCTGGCTATTACAAATAAAGCTGCCATGAACATAGTTGAGCATGTGTCCTTGTGGTTTGATTGAGTAGCCTTTGGGTATATACCCTAGAGAGTGGTATAGCTGGGTCTTGTGGTAGATTGATTTCCTGTTTTCAGAGGCACCGCCACACTGATTTCCAAATTGGCTATACAAGTTTGCACTTTGACGAGTAATGGAGGAATGTTCCCCTTGCTTTAATCCTCTCCAGAATGATCTATTACTTGTATATTTGATCTTAGCCATTCTGACAGGTGTAAGATGGAATCTCAGAGTCATTTTGATTTGCATTTTTCTTATGGCTAAGGATGTTGAACATCTCCTTAAGTGTGTCTTGGCCATTTGAGAGTCTTATGTTAAGAACTGTTTAGATCTGTTCCCCCAGTTTTTTTTTTGTTTGTTGATTTTTTTCATTTATTTTACATACTGACCACAGTTTCCCCTCCCTCCTCTTCTCTTGTTCCCTCTACCCTCTACCCCATTTTTAAATTGAATTATTTTATTTGTTGATGTCTGGTTTCTTGAGTTCTTTATATATTTTGGATATCAGCCCTCTGTTGGATGTGGGGTTGGTGAAGATCTTTTCCCATTCTGTAGGCTGCTGTTTTGTCCTATTGATGGTGTTGTTTGCCTTACAGAAGCTTTTTAGTTTCATGAGGTCCCATTTATTAAGTGTTGATCTTAGTGCCTGCATTATTGGTGTCTTGTTCACAAAGTTGTCTTTTGTGCCAACACATTCAAGGCTCTTTCCCACTTTTTCTTCTATCAGATTCAGTGTATCTGAATTTATGTTGAGGTCTTTGATCCACTTGGACTTGAGTTTTCTGCAGGGTAATAGATATGGATCTATTTGCATTTTTCTACATGCCAACATCCAGTTAGACCACCACCATTTGCTGAAGATGCTTTCTTTTTTCCATTGTATAATTTTGGCTTCTTTGTAAATGTCAGGTGTCCATTGGTATGTTATGTATCATTTGCCATATGCAATAATACAAGAGCCTCAGGTGTGTCTGAGGCATCTTGTGATTAAAGTCATGGGATGGCTACAGTGCCACTTCAGGAAAACAATCACTGTTTCCCACAAGGATTCTTGAAGGTCAAATTTCTTCTAAAAAAAAGCTGTTCACTCTGGTGTCTATCCTGATACAGTAATTCTGCTAAATTCCTATAACAGTGGACAGTCTTGTTTTGTTCCTGATTTTATTGGAATTGCTTTGAGTTTCTCTGCATTTAATTTGATGTTGTCTGTTGGCTTGCTGAATATTGCTTTTTTTTTTAAAGATTTATTTATTTATTATGTATACATCATGTATGACTACAGGCCAGAAGAGGGCACCAGATCTCATTACAGATGGTTGTGAGCCACCATGTGGTTGCTGGGAATTGAACTCAAGACCTCTGGATGAGCAGTCAGTGCTCTTAACCTCTGAGCCATCTCTCTACCCCGGCTTGCTGAATATTGTTTTTATTATGTTTAGGTGTGTCCCTTGTATCCCTAATCTCTCCAAGACTTTTAATATGAAGTGGTGTTGGATTTTGCCAGAGGGTTTTTCAGCATCTAATGAGATAATGATGTGGTTTTTTATTTAAGTTTGTTTATGTGGTGGATTACATTGAGAGAATTTTCATATGTTGAACCATCCCCACATCTCTGGGATGAAGCCTACTTGATCATATGGCTGATCTTTTTTATGTGTTCTTGGATTTGGTTTGCTTGTATTTTATTGAGTATTTTTGCATGAATGTTCATGAGTGAAAATGGTCTGTAGTTCTCTGTCTTTGTTGAGTCTTTGTGTGGTTTGGGTATCACAGTGATTTTGGCCTCAGAAAGAATTTGGCAATGTTCCATCTGTTTCTGTTTTGTAAAATAATTTGAAAAGTATTGACATTAGCTTTTATTTGAAAGTCTGGTAGAATTCTACACTAAAACCTTCTAGCCATAGGCCTTATTTGTTTGGGAGACTTTTAATGACTGCTTCTATTTCCTTAGGGGTTATAGGTCTATTTAAATTGTTTATCTGATATTGATTCAACTATGGTAAATAGTATCCTTCAAGAAATTTGTCCATTTACATTTTCCAACTTTGTGGAGTACAGATTTATGAAGTATTATCTTATCTGATCTTGATTCAACTTTGGTAAGTGGTATCTATCAAGAAAATTCACCCACCTCTGCCCCCTGAGTCCTGGAATTAAAGACATGAGCTGATACACCCAGATTACACATTTTTTTGGAGTTAGTAATTGTTTATACAGTTTCTCTGATGTGCACTCAGTACTGTTGATCTGCTTGCTTCTCTCTCTTTATGTCTGTTAACTGGCATTTTTCTTATTCAAAGGGCATATAAATGACAGGGGTGAATCTCCCTTTCAGTTTCCTTCTAAAGTAATTTGGTAATTACATTAGAACTTCTGTGTCATGGAATAAGTATGGGACGCACCAGAATTATATGAATATATTATCAACGAAGGATACATTTACAGTATTGTCACGATCATGCTTTCCGTTGTACACATGTATGGAATATTTTAGAATGCAGTGACCTATGATGATGTGCATGTTGACTTCACTCGGGAAGAGTGGGCTTTGCTGGATCCTTCCCAGAAGAGGCTCTATAAAGATGTGATGCTGGAGACCTACAGGAACCTCACTGTGATAGGTAAGACTGTGAATGTTCCTTCCCTTTCCCAAATAAGGGGACAACTGTTTTTTATGTAATTTTCACTGACTAAGAATGAGGTGAATAAATCAGGCAGGGTTCTAAGATAAACTGATGATAATAACTTATTTTGCATAATTTCTAATAATATATCATACATTTTCTGGTACTATATTTTAGGCTACAATTGGGAAGACCATAATATTGAAGAACATTGTCAAAGTTCTAGAAGACATGGAAGGTAATTTTCATCTGCAAGTGGATACAAATGTGCCTCTGAAGAAAATTTAATATTCCTGGAAGTTTTAAAGAAAGCAGCAGTATAAATAAGCACAGTTTTAAGTGTATTGATAATCATTAATTTCTCACAAAACCATGTACTTCAATGTCAGGGAGCTGGTTTGTGTTTGCAAGGCATTCTTGTAAGAAAGAAGACAAGGAAACAACACTTTAACAGATATCACTATTTTAATCACAGCTCCATGATCACTATGCTATAGAACTACTAATCTGTTTACTTGATATGATTCATATATTGCAAAGACATACATGTGGAGTAGGTGATAAGTATATGTCCAAAATCTTCTTATAAGCAAATTGTAAAGCTAGTGTTACTCATATACTTGTAATGACTTTGCTAAGTTTAGTAAGCAGGGCAGTTTATGAGACTCAAGAACATTGTTGTGGAGAAACCTAAATCCCTACACCACATGTCTTTGAGGAACAAGAAGTCAAACTGTGTGAATGCAATTTGGAAACCATTCAGTTGTTATTTTTCCTTTCATAGGTATATTAGATGTCACAATGGATACAAGCCATGTGAGCATAGAGATATTTAAAGAAGCAATGTACCTCTCTCTCTCTCCCAGAATAATTAAAAGATGTATAGTAGTCCCCACTTTAAGTAGACTTATAGAATGTGATACAAGTTTGTGATAAATTGGTTTTCCAACTGCATCAGGAATACATTAGTAAACTCATACTGCACAAAAAATCCCTATGAGTATTAGGAATGTGGAAATTCATCTATTTGTCCTGGTTCACTTTACAAATGTATTATGACTCACACTATAGGAAAATTTATGAATGCAATTAGTGTGGTAAAGCTCTGAATTCTTCAATTCACTTCAAATATGTGAAAAAACTCATATGGAAAAAGGATGCTATAAATGTGAGCCATGTAATAAAGGCTCTTACCATCACAGGTATTTTCAAAAGTGCAAAACAACTTATAATGAATGGGAATACTCTAAATGTAAATAAAGTGATAAAACTTTAAGATCTGTTTCCTTTTTACAGTTAAACCAAATTGTAAAATTAATTCATTTTGGTTAAAAGATTCATTAGTGTAATGAATGTGGTAAAGTTTATACATGTGGCAATTTTCTATATAGGCATGAAAGAAGTCATAATGGAGAGAAACTCTCTGAATATACTCAATGTGCTAAAGCCCTTACATATCACACTCATCTTCAAAGACATGAAAGAATTCATACTGGAAAGAAACTCTATGAATGTAATCAGTGCAGTAAATCCTTTGCATGTCACAATGGTCTTCAAAATCATGAAAAAAATTATAATGAAGAGAAACCCTATGAATGTAAGCAATGTGGCAAAGCCTTCACATGTCAGAGTAGTCTCCTAAGACATAAAATAACACATACTGGAGAGAAACCCTATGAATGTAAGCAATGTGGTAAGACCTTTGCATATCATAGTTATCTCCAAATACATAAAAGAACACATACTGGAGAAAAACCCTACAAATGTAATGAATGTGGTAAAGCCTTTTCATGTCATGCTCATCTTCGAAAACATAAAAGAACACATACTGGAGAGAAACCTTATAAATGTAATGAATGTGGTAAAGCTTTTGCACAAAACTGTAATCTCCAAATACATAAACGAACACATCCTGGAGATAAACCTTACAGATGTAATGAATGTGGTAAAGCCTTTGCACGTCAAGGTCATCTTCAAATACATAAAATAACACACACTGGAGAGAAACCCTACAAATGTAATGAATGTGGCAAAGACTTTGCACGTCATGGTGATCTTCAAAGTCATGAAAGAATTCATACTGGAGCAAAATCCTACAAATGTGATGAATGTGGTAAAGCCTTTACACGCCACAGTGATCTCCAAAGTCATGAAAGAACACACACTGGAGAGAAACCCTACAAATGTAATGAATGTGGTAAAGTCTTTACACATCACAATTATCTCCAAAGACATAAAAGAACACATACTGGAGAGAAACCCTACAAATGTAATGAATGTGGTAAAGCCTTTGTGTGTCATGGTTACCTTCAAATACATAAAAGAATACATGCTGGAGAGAAACCCTACAAATGTAATCAATGCAGTAAAGACTTTGTAGATCACACTCATCTTCGAATACATAAAAGAACACATAGTGGAGAGAAACCCTACACATGTAATGAATGTGGAAAAGCCTTTGTACGTCACAGTTATCTCCAAATACATAAAAGAACACATATTGGAGAGAAACCATTCAAATGTAATCAGTGTGGTAAAGCCTATATATGTTATAGTCATCTTCAAATACATAAAAGAACACATACTGGAGAAAAACCCTACAAATGTATTCAATGTGGCAAAGCCTTTGCATATCATAGTCATCTTCGAAAACATAAAAGAACACATACTGGAGAGAAACCTTATAAATGTAATGAATGTGGTAAAGCTTTTGCACAAAATTGTAATCTCCAAATACACAAAAGAACACATACTGGAGAGAAACCCTACAGATGTAATGAATGTGGTAAAGCCTTTGCATGTCAAGGTCCTCTTCAAATACATAAAAGGACACATACTGGAGAGAAGCCCTACAAATGTAATGAATGTGGCAAAGACTTTGTGCGTCACAATGATCTTCAAAGTCATGAAAGAACACATACTGGAGAGAAACCCTGTGAATGTAAGCAATGTGATAAAGCCTTTGCACTTCCCAGTTATCTACAAAGACATAAAAGAACACATAGTGGAGAGAAACCCTACACATGTAATGAATGTGGTAAAGCTTTTTTTTTTTTTTTTTTTTTTTGGTTTTTCAAGACAGGGTTTCTCTGTGTAGCTTTGCGCCTTTCCTGGAACTCACTTGGTAGCCCAGGCTGGCCTCGAACTCACAGAGATCCG